TTCTCTTTGGCGCTCTTGAACAGAATATCCAGAAAACGGGATGCAATCTTACTTTTTCCGGCAATGAAAATCGAGAATTTTTTCAAGTATAGTATGATAAAGGGCACCGGGACCATGTTCCTGACACAAAATTAAAGAAATTAAAGAACCGGTTACTTTCTAGTTGAGTTAACTATGTGACATTTGGTGAAAAATAAGCATTCTTGCTAGAGAGTTTCATTATATACAGGTCTCACATTAGAGACCTATTAGAAAAGATGAAGCAAGTATGAATGTGAGCTAAAGAAATTCCGTAATTTATCCTTTCGGACAAAATATAGGTGAAATTTCACATTCACTGAATGCTGTCCAGCAAAACGAAAGTTGAAATACGCAACATAGTTAGCTCGTCCACTGTTAACTCGTTAAATCCAACAACAGTTAGTCTAAAACACCAAATTAGCTCGTCCACATTGAGAATACAATGTAAGTATGTAACTATGATTTGTAAAAATGCCCATAATGCAAAATCAAGTGACCAACAAATCAACATTGGCTTATAACTGAACCAAACACACAGTAGTAATTGATTCTGAATTTTGAAAGTTTCAGAATTGTAACTTTCAGCAGAGTACACACTATAGACTGTGAGACTTGACCAAAGAATCGACAAAATCATCCATTTTCAGCAATTAACTTGGGCTTATAACTGAACCAAACACACAACAGTAATTGATTTCTAACCTTGGCTTATAACTGCACCAAACACACAACAGTAATTGATTTCTAATATTTCAGAAGTTTCACAATTGTAACTAGAGCTGCGTACAGAATATAGACTGCGAGACTTAACCCAAGAATCGACAAAATCATCAATTTTCAGCAATTAACTTGGATTATAACTGAACCAAACACACAATAGCAATTGATTTAAACTTCAAAAGTTCCACAATTGAGTACAGACTATAGAGTGCGAGACTAACCCAAGAATCGACAAAATCGTCAACTTCACAGGCTTCAACTGCAGCCAATAACCTACAGGAATAGCCCCACGCAGCTCAATCACAGGAAGCGTAGCCAAGGCAAACACAACAGCCTCATCGGGCCAGCCCGAAGCCCGCAAAGCATTAGCAACCCTAAGCCCAAAACCGGAAGTACGAATAGAATCAGCAGCTGCAACGGCCGAGGCTTTCGCGTCCTTCGAAAACGCATACAGACCAATGGACACCGACGCCCACAGCAAAACCCAGAATACGAATTTCACGGGCTTTTCATCTGGGCTCGATAAAGACTCGACCTTTTCAACGTTCTCAAGAAGTTCATCGGATGTGGCTCGCGTTACGGAGATTTGGGGACGATTTAGATGAGAGTGTGTGTGGAGCGAGTGAAAAGGTTTTGAATTTATAGGGCTTCGTCTGTTTGGGAGTGAGGCAAAATGGGTTCTTGGAAATTGGAGTCTGAAATGGGACTTCACCTGAAGAAGAGTTGTTGGAATTGTAGATGGACTTGATAAAATGGCCACCATTGTTGGGAAAAATCAGGTCTTAGAATGGTGAAGTATGCTTGAGCTGCGTTTTCATGTGCTTTTTTGGCTTGAAATTATTATTGCATTCAATCACGTGCATTTGCATAGATATAAATAATATATTATAAATTATTTATATCTATATAATATTAAAATTATAAATTAGATAATAATATTAAATTCTAAACATAAAACATTATAAATTATATTTTATATATAATATTAAAGTTATAAGTTAGATAATGATATTATGTTTTAAAATGTGATCATTGGTTAAAATAAATAGTACGTAATCATTTGATTACATATGAATCACTGTATTGATTGGATGAAATATAATAAATAATGTATTATTTATGATTTTAAAATATCATGACCAATTAATTTGCTGAAAAATATAAATTTATTATTATAATTGCTTAGGTGATTTTAAGGAATTTTGCTATGACATTAAAATAAATTAATATATTTAAAAAGCAATCGCTTAATCAAATAAAAAATATAATATTAATTTTAAAATAAATAACTTGAAAAAAAAATTACAATATAATTTTTTTATATTTATGTAACTTTCATATATCACGTAGTGTAAAATATAATTATTAATTCTAATAATAACCATATATGATACAATAAAAAAAATATAATTATTACTCAATTAATATAAAATGTAATGATTTTTGTCTTAATTAACAGAATCAATTTTTGAGAAAATAAGTAGCGCGTAGGTATAATTTATGGGGAAAAAATAAGATAGAATGAAATAATTTTAACAATTAATTTCTTGTTTTTCTTCTGTTTCCGTGTTTAAAAAGAATAGAATATATCCAAATGTATAAAGGAATCAAAATAAATTAAATAGAAGAAGAGGTTTTTATTAGTGTGTATATGTTGGTTTGTGTAAAATGAAATTTAAATAATATTCGTATCATTTAAAATTCATTTATTTTTTCGTGTACTTACTTGTGATATCATTATTTTTTTTTTCTTGTAGGTTTACCTTTTAAATCTTGGATTGCTACTAGTTGCTTATATTATTTATTTATTTTACATGTGTTGGGCATACAAAGATGTTTGACTAATTGAATTCATACTTAGGAAAAGTAACAGAATTGGAGTATGGAAAGTTTGGTATAATTTAATAGTAAAATTAAATGTTATGCTAGCAATTACATATATATATAAATTATTTTTAAATTTGGTAGATAAATTTGATGATAAAACTAAGGAAAATATTACATCCCATCATGGAATGGAACGATTTCGTGAGGATTATTAGTCTTTAGATATACATGTAAGTTATTTATTGTAGATAATCCATGTTAAAAACCCTCATAAAATCATTCTGTGACGGGACAGTAGTCTTCTCATAAAACTAGGTTTGTAGTGAGTTGTTGGTCAACGGGTGAGTGTTCATTTGCACTTATAAGCTACCAATTACAACTAACTTCAAATATTATAAACAAATGAGATTGAATTCTGCTTAAAAGAAAGGGTATAAAGTGTAAGCACATATTCGATTTCACGGTCGACTCTACGTTGAACCGAGCATTAATCTAATAAGCTGATAATTGAGTTTGTGTTAAATTCATTTATCAATAATAACGAGTGGCCGAACATGAAACCTAATAAATGGAACCTAATAAACAAACCATAGAAAAATGCATAAAACAAATATTTTAGCCCTTTAATAAACGATCTTGGTTCGACTTGTTTAAAACAAGGCTTAATGAACCGAGCTCTCGAACTGTCACATTTTGCTTTAGTGTTCTATGTTGTACACCTTTGTGAACCTAAGGCTTATCCAAAAGGAACTCAAAATACTATGCCCCAAATCTGTTCGAGCCCATGAAACGAGCAAAACCGGCCTGACTAACATCTTGTCGATCTCCTCAGCAAGATAATTGTCGATGTCTCTGTGGAAGTTCACTGTCGATATCTTTGCAGTGTATAAACGGACACTATGGAACCGGTAAAGCGACCGCTCAACCGGTCTCATCATGAAAAGCCGAAATACATGTCTCATCCTCAAAAGTTGGATTTTTACATGTCAACACGTGTCAACCACCTAACTCCTAATGAGACACGCTTTGTATTTTTAATTTTGTTGTGTATAAATGAGGCGTTGAGTACTTCATACCGACATGAACAAAGCTCGATATGAATTTCCTTTTGACGATCCACCAAATGATCGGGAAATCGTGTGTGTTTCTTTATTCCCAGCATCTTTAGCACTATCTTTGTGCTGCTAAATTTCGTTCCTCTTAACAAACCACCATTAAATCACGCTTTTATTCGCATTTACAATAGTTGATGATCGATCGTCAACAATGTATTTTGGTTATGTTTGGTAAATCTAGCTGATAAGCTAGCTTATAACTTTTAAATGAATTTCGAGTTTATAGTTGATAGCTTATGAATTATGGATGAAAGCTAACTTATATGATAAAAGTGTGCGGTAAAAAATTAACTGATAAGTTAGTTGAAATAAAATTTTCAATCGGTTTATTTGAAAAGTTACTTAATAGAGCTTACGAGATAAGTTTGAGCTTTTAATTAATAATAATAAAAAAAAAAAAAACAACAAGCCTTATTTAAATACATGTAACTTATAAGATAATAAAATAAGTTACAAATTAGTTTATATGATTACCAAACACAACCTTAAAAATCGAGAAATAACCGTACCATCAATGAGAAAAGAATCCAAAAAGGAAAGGTTGGGAAAATCCTAATTCTCCCCCATGCACCTTATTCGCTTCTCAAGCGTCGTTGTGCTCTCCCCCTCGATGCCGCCACCGGTGAGGACGCAATCGACGCTTCATCAGTCGGCGCTTCTCAGGCTTCATACGTCACACCACAAAGGTACAGAAACATAATGTATTTGTTTGTGATATGATAATATTTCAAGAATATTTTTTTGGATTTGAGAATGAAATTTTCTATTGGAGATAAACTTTGTAAAGTGGGTTGTTGTTACTTGTTAGTAAATAACAAGTCACCACTTACCACCAACTTTAAATATGATACTTGAACGAGTGGACATGGGATGTTTGGATATAAGTTTTTTATTGTTTTTTTTTTTGAATTTTTAGGTTTTTGTTTGTGTAATTTTGAAAATTATGATATAGTTAGTTGTCAGTGAGATTTAGAGTTTATATTAAAATAATATTTAAAATAAAATAATAAAAAATTGACTTAATATAAAAATAGGAAAAAATGATATGAAATGATGATTAATTAAAATTATGTGAGTGAATGAATAATGAATAGAATTGATTAATGTGTAAGAATGAATGATTAAGATTATTTAATTATATTGATAATATTGAGGATAGTGAAATTGCGTTAAAATTGAGTTAGATTTTAGTTAAAAAAACGATTGGTTAATAATGATTGATTTTTTATTTTTTATTTTTTAAATCTTCTATCCAAGCATCCTCTAAATGATTCGAAAGCATCTTAAAAGTAAGGTTTTAAACAGATATATGAGTTATGGTCAAGTCTATATTGAGCCGAGCATTAAGTTAACGAGGTGATAAATAAGTTTGAGTTTAACTCGTTTATCAGCAATGAGTAGCCAGACCTGGAACTTGATGAACCAAACTATAAGAAATTACATAAAAATTATTTTTGCACCTTAACTAAACGCTGCTTGATGTGTTTAATTCAAGCCTTAACGAGCCGAGCTCTCCAACGTCACATTTTGCCTTAGTGCTCTGCTTAAAAACCGAAAAATAACAATCAATGGAAAAAGAAACCAAATAGAAAAAGTCATGAACAGCAGGAAGAGGGAAAAGCCCTACTTCTCCCGCCACGCGCCTTACTCGCTCCCCAAGCCGAAGCGCCGCCGTCCTCTCCCCCTCGACGCCGTCTCCGGAGAGGACGCAATCGACGCCTCATCCGCCAAGGCCCCGACTTTGGTGGTGGTCACCGGCGTGCCGTCGGAGTGCTCCGTGCTGGACCTTAAATCTAGGTTCGAGATGTACGGGCCCATATCAAGGACCCGAATGGAGCCTAATGGAGTCGCTTACGTCAAATTCAGATCCAACGATGCGGCGCTATCCGCCGTCGACGCGGCCCGAGATTCCAGTTTTCCGGTTACCATACACTCCATTCCAGTATGCTCCATTTCTCGATTCTTACTTTATCTGCCTTAACATTTTCTGTCTGTCTGTGTGTTCGATCTGTTAATAAAATCCCGCTTTTGAATGGGTTCGGGCCGATTTCCGGCCCTAGAGTTCCGGCCCGATCTTTAGGTGTCTATATAGCTATCAAATTTGGCATGTAGAAAGTGCAATTTTCGCAGAGGTCGAGTATGAACCCTAATTACACTGTACTGTGCTTGAGTTGATCAATTGAAGTTGATTGAACTAGATCTATCAACACACCAAGTCGAAATATTTCTGTTTGGTAGAAATTTGAAAACCAGATTCAGCTCAACTTGATTTGTGATGATGCTCTAAATGTGCAAAAGGGTCTACAAAACTTGACAAAAATATATAGCAAAAAAAAAGCTTGGATGGGTTCATGTTTTCGCTTACGTGATGAATGCGAAAAATGTTGAACATTGTGTTCTTGTTTGTTGTACCTTTGAAGGTACAAGTGGCATGGGCAAGTGACCCGGTTATACAATGGAAGGGAGGAATTAGCAAGGAGGGTTTATCATCGAGGCTCGTTCGAGCGCAAGTGCCTCTGAGGAGGCTCGGGAGAGGTAATCGGCTTGGGTCAACTATTGTGAACCCTCGAGATGAGAATATTAATAATGAACGTGATGAAAGCAATCAGAATAAAATTGATAATGATGTTATTAAGGTTAGTGGTTCGGCTTTGGATGGGCCTTTCAAGGGAAGGGAAATTGTGGCGTATGATGATATTTTGTAAATCTTTTTTCATGTTAGTAAATGTGTGGGTAGGCTCGAGTTTGATTGTTGCTATTGTTTCCTTTACTTTACGTGCTGTTCTTCTCTTTCTTCTTGAAGTGACTTGAGTGATTCAGATTTGATTGCTTGCTGTTGAAAGTTTCAGGTTTTTGGTTTTTAGATTTGGATTTTGTTGGGGTCTTTTGTTCTGTTTTCCTCTTATTCGATGTAAGTGAATGGCTAAGTGGTATTTGCTTGGCGTTTGGATTTGCAGTACATATTGTGGTTAGGTAACTTTTATTTCCTTTTCCTTTTTACATGTTATGATAGTTTCTGTTTGTATTGGAATTGGATGTGTAGGGTTCGACGGTAAATTTCATTCTATTTGTGTGGGTAGGAATTTTTAACCGTTGGATCAACACATACTCATACGTGTGGGTGTAAATATATGTGACCCGACTGATAAAAACCTGATGTGACAAAAAATTATAGGGTTCAAGGCGGTTGTTAGACCAAAAAAAAAAAAAAAATCTCATTTTTCAACTATTTTGGTGTGTGTTTGCAAACATTAAAGAATCTATTTGCTCATGAAAAATGATTTGATGAAATGGGGTTCCTTTTGATATTACTTCTTTCCCTTTCATTTTAATTGTTTTTCACCAAACTTTAGGTTTGACCATCAGGTTCATCACAAGAGTTTATTGAACATTGAAGCTGACTTATTATGGTGCCTTAAACCTTGACTAAAAACCAATTGAAATGGGTTCATTGAACCTTGATAAATGACCTGAGGAGTTGCATTAAGCCTTGACTGAATACCTCTTTTTTTATTTCTCATGTGTATAAGAGCATCTCCAATGTGGCTTTTGACATTATAAAAATTCATCCATATCATCAACTTTTGAAAGTGTGTTACAAGTTTATTCTCCAATGCATCTAGTCATGAACTCTTTCATGATGAGGTGGATAGCATTTAATGTTAACAATATTGAACACACTTTCTAATATCTAACACCATGTTAAACATGATGACTAATCAATTCACTTCATATTTGATTTAATTTTTTATTGTTCTTGTATTAATGATTATTTTAATTGGTCCACCTATACAAATAACTTCTTATGAAATTGATGCATTGGAGATACTAGTTTGATTCAAACTAGCACATAGCCCGTGCGATGCACGGGATGGTATATTTTCCTGAAATGTTTAACGTGTGAAATATTAAAAATAATATAATTTATATATATGTAATAAAAATAAATGGATTGCAAAGAAGAAAAATAATATAAATTATTGAATACTTTCTTTGTGAAGTAAAATTTGTGAAGGTTTGGTATATTTGATTATGAATAAAAAAGTATGAAATACTACCTGCGGACCGTTGAGATAGATGAGAAGATTTACTTAAAATATATAGAATAAATATTGAGATAATGATTTATCTTTTACCTAGTATAGACAAAATAAATATTGACATGATGTGGGAAAATTATGACGAATTATGACATAAATTCGTTTAGAAAATATTCAAAAATTAGATTTATTTTTTATTTTTTAAATCCTTACAGTAATTCGTACGCTCCTTTTCATACGCTTAGTTTATCAATTTTACAAATACAAATAAAAATTAATGCAACTCGAAATATTATATAACAAATAAAATGAGATTTTTATCTAACATTTAGTATATTGCCGGAAAATTTTTTATAAATCTTATTCTCTTTTTATGCACATAGATATTAAAGAATGAGTAAAAAAATATCTAAATATGTTTAAAAGTATCTAATATTATATGTGTTAACAATGTTACAACCAAAAGACATTAAGAATACGCAGACTATTATATAACATATGTGAAAGTATTAAAATATTTTATATTATTATTGAAAAATGTGAAATTACCTCAACTTTGTCTAGACTATTTTATAAGAAAAATATATATACTTAAAGTTAGCACATACACATATATATATCCTTAAAATTTGCCCAACTAACATGTTTAAAAGTATATAAAATTTTATATATAAAATACGTTTAAAGTTTACATATTTTACAAAAATTAGACTGCTCTCAGTGTATATAAAATTTGTTGCTCTCATATTCGGATAACGTATTATGCATTTAATGAAACCACCTTACGATACAAATTTATAAATATTAATGAAAATAATTTTTTAAATTATATAAAATTGAAATAACAAAGGTAAATATTACCTGTTCATCGTGAAAATGCGTTACAGCTCCGTTCGTGATCGGTTTCAATAATGCGGACTGCTCTCAGACGCAAAAAAGGTTTGTTATAAATATTAATTAAAATAATTTTCTAAATTATATAAAATTGAAATAACAAAGGTAAATATTACCTGTTCATCATGAAAATGCGTTACAGCTCTCCCGTTCGTGATGGGTTTGAATAATGCGGACTGCTCGTGATGGTTTCAAAATGCGGACTGCTCTCAGACGCAAAAATGTTTGTTATAAATATTAATTAAAATAATTTTCTAAATTATATAAAATTGAAATAACAAAGGTAAATATTACCTGTTCATCATGAAAATGCATTACAGCTCTTCCGTTCGTGATGAGTTTCAATAATGCGGACTGCTCTCGTGATAGGTTTCAATAATGCGGACCTCTCAGACGCAAAAAAGGTTTGTTATAAATATTAATTAAAATAATTTTCTAAATTATATAAAATTGAAATAACAAAGGTAAATATTACATGTTCATCATGAAAATGCGTTATAGCTCTCCCGTTCGTGAAGGGTTTCAATAATGCGGACGCAAAAAAAAAGGTTTGTTTCTTTTGTTAACGTACCCCAGTCTGGAAGCATTATATATCAAGTGTACCCCAGCCTGCTCGTGATGGGTTTCAATAATGCGGACTGCTCTCAGACGCAAAAAAGGTTTGTTATAAATATTAATTAAAATAATTTTCTAAATTATATAAAATTGAAATAACAAAGGTAAATATTACCTGTTCATCATGAAAATGCGTTACAGCTCTCCCGTTCGTGATGGGTTTCAATAATGCGGACTGCTCTCAGACGCAAAAAAGGTTTGTTATAAATATTAATTAAAATAATTTTCTAAATTATATAAAATTGAAATAACAAAGGTAAATATTACATGTTCATCATGAAAATGCGTTACAATGGGTTTCAATAATGCGGACTGCTCTCAGACGCAAAAAGGGTTTGTTATAAATATTAATTAAAATAATTTTCTAAATTATATAAAATTGAAATAACAAAGGTAAATATTACATGTTCATCATGAAAATGCGTTACAATGGGTTTCAATAATGCGGACTGCTCTCAGACGCAAAAAAGGTTTGTTATAAATATTAATTAAAATAATTTTCTAAATTATATAAAATTGAAATAACAAAGGTAAATATTACCTGTTCATCATGAAAATGCGTTATAACTCCCCGTTGGTGATGGGTTTCAATAATGCGGACTGCTCTCAGACGAAAAAAAAAGGTTTGTTTTTTTTGTTAACGTACCCAGTCTGGAAGCATTATATATCAAGTGTACCCCAGCCTGGAAGCATTATATTGTATATGCGATGAAAAATTATTCTCTGTGAACTCGTGAATGATGAGTTGTAATGGTGGTAGTGAATATCCTTTTATACAATTTTTTATTAGCGAAAGTGATAAGATAATTATGGATTGTATTTGGATAGATATTAAATTCCATGATTTTTTGGGATGCAACAACAAAATATGCAATCACATGTATATATCTTCTCACGTTAAAAGTATATCCATCCCTAAAAAAAGGGAAATATATAATGCCTTAATTGACGGAATTTGTGTATTTTCGTAACAGATTTGCTTAATTAATGAGATCTGATACTTAATTAACGGGAATACCAATTACAAAATCCTATTCACGATTTTTTTTTCAAAATTTGATTGAGATTACATAAATATAAAGTCAAAAGTCAACACAATTTATTTTAAATTTCTAAAAATGATTTTAACATCAACCTTTTTAGATATATATAGATTTCTACTCTTTTAACATTATTCCTACGTGGATTAACATTAAAATCATTGATTGACATGTGTTAAAAATTATTGTCTTTCAAAGCTATAACATTGGAGATGCTCTAAGGATATGATGTTTCATCTGTAGGGCATTAAGTATAAAATATGGGATATTCATGACTTATTTATAAATTTAAATCAAATGTGGATGATTTATTTTGATTTTAACCATAAAACATTATATAGATTTCCTTCCATGAAGCTAGCAACCCGCACAAATATTTGTCCTAATATTGACTAATCTAAATTAGGTTAGATACCAGCAATCACACTTTTATTGGTTAAGCAGTCATATTTTTTAACTTATATGCCTGCGTATTACATTCAAATTAAAATGACTTATTCTAAATTTCATAACATAAATCTATATTTTTATTAATAAAAAAATTTACGGTCCATTTTACATTCTTATTGTGACATTATACCATAATCAATAAGAAAAGTTTCTGAGTACTCGGAATTTACATTCGGTACATTCAAGAATTAACTTTGTGCCAAAAATTGAAAAAAAAAAAAAATATAACAAATAAATAAAAGCAAGAAGAAGATTCTAGATAAGTAAATTCATGGAGTAATAGATAATCATTCATTTGTCTGTTTGTTCATAAAAAAATCGTGTATAAATAATTGACTCGTTATTGCTACTGTACTAATTCACCTATCTATAGTCGCTCCGCCTCCCAAAAAAAAACCCTTCCCAAACCCTCCCTCCGCCGCCCACGGCGGCCTGAAACCTAATATCTCAACTCTACCACACTCCTTCCCCACCCGCATCAAGAATCGAAAATGGCGGCGGTGACACCAGCACCAGCACTATCGCTTTCCTCCGAGACCGCCACCGACGGGCCAGTCCTCAACCTAGTCAACAAGCGCCTCCGGGCACTGCGCAAGAAGCTTAACCGCATCGCGCAGATGGAGGATTCTGTTTCCCAGGGCAAAACCCTCAACAAAGAGCAGGAGGAAACCCTGCGCTCCAAATCCTCCGTCCTCGCCGGCATCGACGAGCTCGAGAAGCTCAAGCAGCCGCTCCTTCAAGCCGTCGGCCAGGAAATCGAGCTCGTTCTGGAGAAAAACAAGCAGAAGACGGACTCCGTCGCCGCCGCCGCCGAAATCCCGAGCGAGGCCGCGTCCACCGCGGAGGCGGATGAGAAATCGGGGACCCCCACTTCCGACTCGGCGGTTTCCGATCTGCTCAACCTGCTGTACTTCGGCACCGTCTTTGATGTGAAGACACTGTTTTTAGCACGGGACAATCTGCTCACGAGGACGCACGAGAGGAACTGCTGCCTGACGTATGATTGCATCACGGACGACGATGCTGCCGGGGATCTCCTGAAAGAGACTGATTTGGACTTGATTGCCTCGCTCGGGAGCTTTTTGGTTTCACGGCCCGTTAATTCAAGCCTATCCCATAAGAACGCGTTGCAGAAGTGTGTGGAGCATGCCAAGCTATGGCTTGCCAATGCGGAGCAGCCGATTGAGCCGGATTCAGATGTCACTTGTATGATAAATCTCTCCTTTGCTCTTTTAGTATGTACATTTTTCTCCATTGCTTGCTTTGGTGGATGTTATGTTTAATCTTCTGTGGGTGGTATTTCAAGATTCAAGTTGTATAGTTGCTTTGTTCTATGGATGGTATCTTCTATGAAGTGATTTCATGGATTTACTTTGTTCTGATGGTGATTTGCTTGCCTAATAAGTCGAGCTTGGTGCTTAATAAGCACATGAAAGATGATGTGGGTGGCATAGTAGCTTAATAAACACAGCTTGAGTGCCTTTCTGTATGTATACCATTTTGTATAGCTATATTTTTCATTTATCTAATTATCTCTATTTTACATGTGCATAGTGCATTAGTGCAGTTTGGTACTTATGGTTGACGGTTGATTATAGTTAATAATTTGCAATATGGAAGTTGTACTGTAAATATTTATTGTAAGTATTTGTTTGGCAAATTTTGAACCCATTGAGTCTCAGTCTCGCAAGAACAATATTCGTTCATGTAGTGCATGTATCGAGAATTCATTGGCAGGGTTCTTGTAATAATTCTAGTGTTATCCTATTTTGGTAGCAGACTTATTAGGTTTAAATTTACATAATGTTGTTTTCCCGATGATTATCTATAGTTTTTCACTTAGTAATGTGGTTCCACTTCAGATGCTGGCTTGAGGGAAAAGTTGAGTAAAATTATGGCTTCAGAGTACTTTACGACTACACCCGAGATAAAGGATGCAGGTGAAGTGGCAGCTGCTGGTGGAAATTATGTATCTTTTCAGGTGCCGGTGGAAGGTTCTACTATTCCTCCAGTTGGCATGACTGTCCCAGTGGAAGGTTCTACTGTTGAGTATCAGCAAGAGGTAGAATTTTTTTCTAACCTTCCGTTTTACATTATTTTTAATTTCCCTCTTTGGAAGGAAGTAAGTTTTGCTGGTAAAATTGTCAACTTGTTTCTGCATTTACTGCTGTGATTGGGTGAATTATGTTCAAATGTTAGTAGCATCCCTTTTTGTTTGGGTTACAAGTGAGATATAGTTGGTTATGGTAAGCTGAGTAGAGTTTTTGCAAACTTTGTTTGTTACTTTTCGCGGGAACTTTGTGGTACTTGTAATTTGAGGAAAACATGCATACATACGTAGGCAACTTTTTGCCCTGGGTTTCTTGATAAACCCTTAAAGGTTGTGTCTTCTGGCTGGATCAAGAGTTTATTATTTCCTTTATTGGTCACGAATTTTTCCATATTTGGAAGACCCAGAGGTCCCTGAATAGTTTGTTCTTCGCCAACATTTCATCTCTGGCAAAATCCCAATCTGGAATTTAGCTTTCTTTTGATTCGAATCCATATTTTACCTTTACCTTTCCTATTCATTTCAATATCTTTCCTTGAACGTTGCATTTAACCGAAAAATTAAATTTATTGCAGGAAGAACAACAGCCCAATGCCGAAACCTACACTGACGAAACCACCCATGTTGAAGAGTTCAATAAGGTATCGTGTTTAGTCTAATTAAAAATAACCCCCTTCCATTTTCGCTCGTTTTTCGAACGGCTTACAATATTTGTTTGTTCTTGGTTTTTTTTAGGGTACAACACCCGAGGCAGAAGACACACAAGAGATTCCAGCTCAAACAGATGCAGGTGACGAAAACTCGAGGGACGATGAATTAAAGGAGCAAAACTCGAGTCGCAGGTCATATCGCGGCTTCAGAGGTGGCCGGCGAGGATACAGCAATGGGCGTGGAGGAGGGAGAGGCGGCAGTAGGGGAAGCTACCACCACCAAAATGGCCGGAGCCAGTTTTCCGACCAGCAAGGTGGCGGCGGTTATTACCAGAGGAACAATTACGGTCATTACAGGGGACGAGGTGGAAGAGGCTTAGGTGGCGGCAACTATAATCATCACCATGCGCAGGTTGCTTCTTCCTGATTGATGCTTGTTGATCTTCNGAAATATTAAAACTTGGTGAGCATGTTAATGTGTTCAGGATTTGGATTTATGTGCATGCTTGCTACATATGGGTGATTATATTTTTTCCAACTAAAAATGAACATTAATTATCATATTATAATGGTGGTTAGAAAGTAGAATATTATTTTCATGGATGCTAATGGTTAAAAGTTATATTTGTATGTTTTTTTTTTTTAAATGTCATATTTAAAAATTCAACATAAATAAAAGTAAGTACTTTTGTAATATAAGGATATTTTTTAAATAAAATATGATTGTCTAGTGGTTATGATGTAAATTTATATTCAAATGTTATATTTTAAAATTCAGCATAAATAAAAAGTATGTAATTTCATGACATAAGTAAATATTTTTTAAATAAAATACGGTTGCCTAATAGTTATGCAACCTAACAATATTTGTATTGTGTAATATGAAAATAGCATGTGTACAAATAAAAATCAGGTTTTAGGCTCCAAACTCACACAAAGCCTGTTCCCATCTTCCCCACTCCATGCTGGGTTGGACTTACTGAAATTTGTTTGGTAGATATTTGAAAAAAAAACAACTGGAAATAACCGAATTGAAAAAAATCATACATTAACCATTAGCCGAACAGAACCAATTTGTTTATGTTCTATTCGGTTCGATTTTCCGGTTCCCATTTTTAAATCCAATGGCTTCACAATATATTTTGCAGCTCAACTTTAGAAGCAAAGTATAGATGTGGCTGTGTAAGGTTTGTGAGATCTCTGATCATAAAAACACTATCAAACACAGTCACTGGAAAGGACAGAAAAAAACCCCACTTACATGAGCATAGTTGAACTTGAAAGAAAAAAAATCATGAAATAAACCAAAAAAAAAAATAAAAAATAATAATAATATAGTTAATAAGCTCATCATCTTCCATTTAAACCACCCAAATTCATAACAGCACCTCCACAAGCAAACAAGCAACACTAAAACTTTTACAAATCTCACCACAATTTGCAAAATTGTTTCTTCTTAGCAGCTTCTTCATATAGAAGCTTAAGTTAAACAATCAACCCCAAATGCCAAATCTACTTACTCCTAATATGCACATTTTTTCTAGTGCAAATATAATCAGAGTATATACACTAAGTAGTTTTTTCACNTTAAAAAAAAAAAAAAAAGTTCCATGACTTTCGAGCTATTATTAACCACTCGACCTCCCCAGAACCCTCCTCAGGTCCGATTTCTGCTCGTTACTAAGCCTTGAAGGGAACTTAATATCAAACTTAATCCTCAAGTCACCGTTTTTACCGGGCTCTTTTGAAATCGGCATGCCTTCATTTCGTATCAACATTTCATATCCAGGCTTGACGATATCCGCCACTTGCACGGTTAAATTGCGACCATCTAAAGTCGTGATGTTCAGTGTCTTTCCAGTGAGGGCATCGAGCAGAGAGATTCTTTGATGGGTTATTAGATCATTGCCATCCCTTCTGTAAACGGGATGTGGCTTTTCATCCACGATGAAAATAAGGTCCCCAGGGGCAAAACCGTCCTTTTGGTTGCCCTTATCGGGAAATGTGATCTTCGTGCCCTTTTTCCAGCCAGGCTTGATGTGTATGGCCAAGACTTCCTCGACAGTGGTTAGCTTGCTGGCAAAAGAAGAAAATTAAGCTAATTACGAATATAGATATCTTCAAAAAATCATAAATAACACTTACGATAGTCTTTAGATTCGGGTTGGACTTGATTATCTTAAACAAATTTCCTTTCTTGGAGGTCGTATTTCGGTAGGAAAGAAATTACCCAAAACATACTATTAGACACTGAGAATTTGCAGGTCAAAAGTTAGTAATTACTCTAATCTTTCAGCTGAATTCTCCTAACATAATAGAATCACGTATATAATCACGTACAAATTACTATATAATAGAATCAAATAGTACGCATATAGTTCACGTATATATGTAGCCACTAGCCATGAAAGTTTTAACATTAATGTGAAATAAGCCTATATACGACATTCGACTTAACATGGCATGTAAATAAGATAATATGCTGAGTCATCTATTCCATGTAAAAGTCGTAGCTAATAAGGCCAACGAATTGAGTCGATACATCACTTTTTTTCCAAAATAATCATAGTTTTTTCCTAGATTCATTAGCACGATATCATCTGAAGTTTAAATACTGATTTTTTTTTTTTTTTTTTCTANCTATGGTTTACATTCATTTGAACTTGCTTCATTAAGTAAACATAGAATCAAACCCCATGCCTAATAAGAAATAAAAGATATATCTTTCGATCATTCTTGATCACAAAGTAAACACATCAAGAAATGTTAAAACAAGAATCCTAAACATAAAAGCTTCAAGTAATACGCAAGAATCGAATTCTTCAATTCCTAATGCATCGTTGTGGAAATTAGCATACCTAATTTATTCATAAATCCAGAAAAATTTTATCTGATTGCATTTGCTGATTGACCCAGAAAAGGATTGCCCCATTAATCTTTTAATCACATAAAGCAGGTCAAACCAAAACAGGAATTTTATGCTATCACATTCACACACAACTAAGGCCCTCCCAAATCTGAACAAACAATATCAAACTTTCTACAATTCCACCATTATATTATACTATACAAAATGAATAAACCACTCAACAGATATCAGAAAACAGTCAATGGACAAAAACGGAAAATGATGATTAACAAAAAGTTGAAAACAGAAAGAAATTAAAAGTACCTACCCTGAAGCATCAAGTACAACTCTGGATATCTTCATCTTCCTCTTCGACCCCTTATATAGCTCCTCCAAGCTGCACGGCAGCTTGGTCTCCATGACCTCCGCCTTCATCAACCTCCCGCCGCCGGCAGCGGCGGCGGCGGAGCTCATCCCCTTCTCTCCATCCAAACCGCCGAAAAACTCCTCAAAAATGTCCTCCGCGTCCCGGGGGCTGAACCTAAACCCCCTCCCGCCCCCTCCGCCGCCGAAATCCCTGTCCTTGGACCCCGGCGGCGGGTACATGCCGGACTTGAGCCCCTCCTCGCCGTACAAATCGTAGATCTGCCGCTTATCGGGGTGGCCCAGGACGTCGTAAGCCTCGCTAATCTGCTTGAACTTCGCCTCGGCCTCCGCCGCGTTCACGGCGTTCTTGTCCGGGTGCCACTTCATGGCCAGCCGCTTGTACGATTTCTTCACGTCCTCCTCCGTCGCGTTCCTCGAGACCCTGAGTATGTTATAGTAATCGACGCCCATTTTCTGCAGAGATCGATAAAAAAGAGGTAGAAATTTTGGGCCCTTTGCAGAGAGGCGATGTTTTTGAGGGGTTTTTTGATGGTTGGAAAATAAATAAATAAATAAAAATCTGTGGAGGGCGTGTTTGTGAATGGTTTTTATTTAGTTGAAGAATATAATAATAACTCGATCTTAACGGAAAGCAGTTTCTAGCTTTTGAGCTGCAACTTGGTGTTTGGTGGACATAAACTTATTATAAAATTGTGATTATATATTTGATATTTCTATGTATATATATATATATATATAAAGGGTTTCCTAATTGTAATATGATTAGCAATTGTGTTTGTGTAATTCGTAATCCTATATATTTTAGTTGATTCAAAATCCTACATACTACCTTTATAAGTAAAAAAATAAATTTAGATAAATTATGTAAATTTATCAATCTCGTTATTATAAACTAGTGTATACCCCGTGCGATGCACGGAAACAATATTAAATTAATAATATTATAAGTAGACCTCGAATTTGAGTCACTCAATGACGGAAGTGGAAACTACTATTGTTCTTATTTAAAAAGAGGAAGCAAAAAAAATAATTATAATTTAAAGAGGAGGATAAACAATACTTAATAATTATAAATTAAAGATTCGGGGTCAAACAATGTAAAATTATTTTGTATAAGAGAATATAAAAAAATTTGATTACACACCATTTCAAAATTATTATTATACTTTTTTGTATGGTTAGCTTATAATATTTGTAAAAATATTAGTAATTAGACCGATGAAAATTAGCTTCTTAAAGTAGATAATGAATTTCCAGTAGTAATTATGAATTAGTTTCTATTTTATTTTATTTTTTCTTTTTAAAAATAATAGATTTCTAGTAGTAATTATGAATTGGTTTCTATATTATTTTATTTTTTTAAATCTGTATAGATAAGAGATGAGATTTTTTAAACACGTGAGATCGTATGCAATGGTATTTTGTAACAGAAGAGATAAGCGTGTAGATTTATACTAAAAATAGGAAAAAGAAAAACAAATATTTATTGTCAAACAACGGTTTTGATAAACTAAAAAAATGAGCCGATTTTATTCAGATTTATCCAACAATTACTATATTAGGATATATTTAATGATTTTGGCGGGAAAAAGTTTCTAAATTTATAAAAAGGTTATTCTTTTTATATAATGATAGATTAATAAATTGTTTTTAATTAAATAAGTTTATTTCTCAAGCTTATTGTATGAAGAAATATTATAATACAGGATGAACGAATTTTACTATGATTAGTGTCACTGGATAGAAAATATAAATTCAATTCAACAAGTATTTGAAAATTTTAAATAAATATTTCTATTTTAAAAAATAGAATTATAAATTATTTCAGTTAACACTCATGTAGTAGACGGATATTGTATTGTTACTAGTTTGTTAATTATTAATTAAGGTCGAAATAGAGCGCTATATTATGTCAAACTGCGTGATAATTATTATGTTAATATAACTACTTTAGGAAATAATATTAGTAATAGAAAATAGGATTGAGAGAATTACACTAGAATTTGCTAAAGCATGTAACATCAATCCAATTTTGTTTGGAACCTTTACAATGTATCAATCGTACAAAAAGTGAAAAAAATTACATTTATAAATAGTATGCTATGGTTTAATAAAATGGAATTATAAAACTAAGTGTAAATTATCTCAACTTTAACTGATGTAACTGATCTTACAATTCCAAATAAAGCATTTTTCTTGAAAATAAAATACGAATTTTTCAAACCCAGTTCATGTCTTCTAGCTGCGATTGAAGGTTGTGGTTTGAATAGATTCATATATATTATTACAGGTTGAAATAGGTTCATAGGATAGGCTGTTCAGCAGGCAGAGACAAATTCATCAGATTCTTGGCTGGCGGTGGTCTGGGTTTAAAGAAAAAATCAAAATAGTTATTTTCCAATGAAAAAAATAAATTTGGATTGCGAAATCTTGGTACTGAGCTCTGACTATGTGCATTTGGTGAAGATGATTTCAGCAAGAACAGAAATTGATATTTGGATCAAACAAAGTTGAC